CTTTAGGGAAAAGAAGATTTGTGTGTGTGTGTGTGTGTGTGTGTGTGTGTGTGTGTGTGTGTGTGTGTGTGTATGTGTATGTCTATATGTATGTATATATATACACACACACATATACATACATACACCCACATACACACCCACCCACATACAGAGAGACACACACACACACACACACACACACACACACATATATATATATATAATGTTTTGCAAACTAGCCAAACAAAGGTGATACATTTTGAGTTTGTGTTTTACAATTTATGAAGTTTTACGAAGTAATCGGAATCCTTGTGCTGATTTCACAGATAGGTGGCAAAGATATTGTGGCTCCCTAGGAGCACGGAGAGGTTTATTGTCTCTGTTACTGGAAATAAATGGTAACTCCCATGGATACTAATATCTACATCTTTTCAGCTTTGCTATATAACTTATGACTCGGGGGGGGGGGGATGACTTTATGTCTTACAGATTTGACAAAATTAAAGATGTGGATCAAATGAGGGACTGACAGACTTGAGGGAGGAGGAATAATAAGATTGTAATTATCTGTTGAAAAGAAGGTCTGAAGTCCCAATTTTATTCACTTTAATTCCTTTTTTATTTTTTGTACTTCTTTCTTTTTTATTTGTGTTTTGTTCTATGGGAAAGTTTCTTAATTTTTTTAAAAAAGAACCATGATTCTGCCTTTTGATACGGGAAAAACTACATCTCCATTTTTATCATATGTATACTTTTAGAACCCTCTATACATCCTTTTATTTTTCTAACTAAAACTTCATGCTGTAGTTCTTATGTAAGAAACAAAAACCGAATCTTTTGGTGGAGTGATTTAATGTTGCTGACATTAGAAAATATGAATTATAGAAATCTACAGGTAGCTCAAATTGTATTTCAAGATTTTGATCCAAACTTTGCTCTTTATATTGTGCTACATGCCAACATGTTCAAATTTTATCTCTCCTCTTGAATGGAAATGAGTGGTTCTTTGTGACCAATCATCATTTTTGCAGATGGACACAAGAAATAGATTCCAACAAGCAAGACTGATGCTGGCAAAATTATTATAAAACAATTATAAAACAATAGCCAAAATCTTTGGAATCTGATTAAAGATTGCTTTGTAAATAGTTTGCATAAAGTATAGATAATAGCTAGATATACAGCTTTAAATACTGCCGAAGTATTACTGACAACTGAAAGAGTTTACTTAATTATGTTTAGTTGTATGTTATTTAAGACTGATAAAAATCAAGCTTGGAAAAAAAAGATTTTTTTAAAAAATGTCCTGTAAATATAAATACCGTAGATACCTCTTGTAATCCTGTTATGTTTGACACTTAAAATTAATGGCAAAATATTAATTAGACATTTTCCAAAGAAACCAGAATGAGTGCAGGTTATTGTGTGGCATGGAGTCTGAGGACAGCTAATCCTCAAATATGTTGTCATAACTGTTATTCTTTCAAAGAAATCTGGAAATATGCCATTTATCATAGTTGTTGAAAACTGACATTGAGAAATGCAGCTAACATTTAAAAACAACACAAACAAATCCCCAGTAAGGCAGAATCAGTTCAGCTGGTGCCATTATTCAAATAAGACACTTGGTGATACTAAATGTGACAGATACAAACTATTGTAACTGATTTCTATTTATACCCCACCCCATTCTCAGTATAATCCAGTTGCAAATCAGTATCAGTAATAAATGGTTGGTTAGGTATTTTAAATTCTTAGCATCTTTTTCTTTTTTTAATAAATAAACACCTCACAATGGAATTATAAGGCTTGCATCAACCGCATTGTTATAAAACCAAGACTACATAAACAACCTTGATAGACACCATATTTACACATAGTCCTTCAGGCTGTAGCCTGTGTCCACTTGCCGGGAAGCTGGATGCAGGTTCTGCTGCTTGTTAGGATAAATCCCTGCTCTCTGCTGTTTTTTAAAACAGGAAGTGCCAAAGATGGCACCTGCAGCAAGCAGAAGTCCAGCCGAAATAAATCCAACATAAACTGCTCCTCCTGGTTCATGCTTACTGCTTTCTGGAATAGTTGGGTCCAGAAATTTTGAAATGATCTCTTTTGTGTACCAGGCTGTTGGTATCAAGCCAGATATTCCTGCCAAAATAAAGAAGACTCCTCCGGCAACTGATGTGTGGTTTTTGGTCTCTCTGTCCCCTCCCAGAAGGGTGCACTTCATCCCCACTGTGGCGATGCAGATCCCAAAAATGGAGAGGATGCAGGACAGAATCATGGTGGTCCTTGCTGCCTGGATGTAAACAGGGAGAGACAGGATTGAATATTTCAGCGTGCAGCTGAACATCCCGGTGCTGTACCATGTGCAATCCATCCAGAGCCCTTGCATCTGAGTGATGGCCGTGATTATGTTTGAGCCCGTGTCTGCATTCACCTTCCAGTTGGGCAACAGGGTGGCTGCGATCGCGCCAAAAACACCAAACAAGGCTAGGACGAAAGCAAAAAACTGGAGAGCGGCCGATGCCATGATGAGAATTGCCGTCACCTTTTGTCTGCTTGTTTCTTTTCTGTTGCTGTAAACCTGTGTTACTGTCTGATGGCTCCCCAGCCAAGGCTGTAGTTGTCTGTATGTGATAGGAGGAGGAGGGGAGAGAGTGGCAAGGGCAAAGGCAGGGGAAATGAGCAAACAAGAGTGCTTGCGTTTGAAATAACGGCTAACTGAATGGCTTGCTAAACGTGACCCTGCAGCAGATGAGAAGGCTACAAAAGGACTGAGCAGATGTACACCAGGCACTTGGAGAGGCGTGATTATAAATGAGTAGTGCGTGAGAGCAACTGAGCACAAGGACGTGTTGATAATCAGCCACAGTGGCAGAAACTGCAAATGAAATGTTAAAATGTAAAAACGAGGTATGTCCTGTGCCAAAGAAAAAAAGGAAAGACTTGTGCCCTTATTGGCCAGTTTATCAGCTTCCAATCCATTTTGTAATACTGTATGAGGAAGTTTTTTAAAAATGTAATTCTAGCCCTATAAGCAGTACTAGGTCTTAGATTTGAATTGAAAGGTACATCAATATAGCTTCTCAATTTTTGTAAGGAATATTCAGGCGGGACTTCAAATGGTCTTTTCCTACTTCCATTCTTTTAGTCTGGCATTTACAGAGACCTTTATTTTAATATTGCTCCTTTTCAGAAGAACAAGCTATTTTGGAACACATTCAAAATTTTTAAATGGTTTATTTCCCCCTGTAACTTTAAACTCAATTCATCATCTCCTTTGCTTCATATTAAACATTTATGGTAAAGAAAAAATTATCTTAAAGACAAGCAAAATAGTTTCTGAAAACCTAAGACACAATCCATTCGAAATAGAATTGAAATGTTAGCAATATTAATCAGAATAGCCAACCATAGTGATTTTTAATATTTGTTAACTATTTTAGACATTTAATTTTGTTATATGCACCCATAGTCACTTGCTCATGAAATGGATAGCACTATAAATATCTACAACTTCCTATTTGTACTGTATATTTGAGATTTAAATATGCTCTTGATTTAGTTGGATTGGGAAGTTGGACACTTTTGCAAGAATGGTGATCTCCTTAAATTCTTCAAGAGTCAACTGAGCATTGAACAAAAATTGATGAATATGTATCATATTTTATATTGCCACCTTTCACACACATATCAATGTACATACAGTACTCCCAAAATAAAATAGCAAATGCAATCCTTCCTGATGTTAAAATTTCACTTAATGTTTATTTTCAACATATAAAATGGGTGTCCCTGCAACAGATTTTAATTAAAAACTCTTATGAACAGCTTTGCTTCTTAAAGTTTTTCAAATATTTCCCATTAAATAAATATTAACAGTTTTACATTCGTTTCAATTTTATTTCAATTGAGATATTATCGATTTTGAAGACTAAAAACTAGAAGTCCTGGCAATGGAAAGGAAATGATTTTTTTGTATTTAATGTTAATAGTATATCTGCTATTCCTCTATGATTATTTTTTTTCATATTGTAAACAATGTTGTTGGGATTTTTTTTAAATTCTCACATCCCTTATGTATTATTTTCTGCCACAATGTGATAGATCCAGCTTCATCTCCTCATCAGCTGTGATAGAGGGAGATGCCAGCCCTGAATGGTACCACTTTTACCTCATGGTTTACTGATGCTTAACAGCACTGTGGAGTGTTAGTTTTTGCAGCTTTAAACGTTAAAAGAAACATACTCTCAGAATTAAAAAGTAGCTTTTTTGAGTAAATGCTGACATCACACAAATCTACCAAAATATTAAAATCCCATGGTTTAACAATATTTAGGTGCCATATAATGCAAATATCTAATAACAAGTTTCACTACTTACTGGTAAAGGAAAGGTTTAAGATGCTTCCATG